AAACCAAGAAAAAGTGAGAAGTAATAATCAAGGACATCCAATAATAAAATAATTTAAAAAATTGCTCATATGAGCAATTTATTAACAACAATCAAAACTTAATTTATTTACAAAATTAAGAATAAAGGGGAGTTATATTGCAGGTTATAAAAAATAATGGGTGAAAAACAAAGGTAGATTTTACAATAAATTATTAAAAGTTATCTATTTATACTTTACATGAATTTTTAATTACAATTTAGATAACAATCAAAACTCAAAAATTTATATACTCAATGGAGAGTAATAGAAATAGTGGAACTTAAAATAACACACACATACAATGATATACATTATGTGCATATAAAAAAATAATTGAAAGATTTTGTATTTATAATATGAATATTCTATTTATAATGTTACTGAACTTAAATTAAATTGTATAATAAGATACTCCTATAACATTTATTTATAATGCGATTTATTTGCGATTTATAAATCGCATTTTTTGAACCCGACTTATAAAACGCATTTGTTGAGTGCGACTTTAACTCGTTTGAAAAACCCAAATAGTCGTCCAACCAACCGCTTAAACTAAAAATAACCGTTGAAGGTATAATATATGCATAATATGTGTATTATATATGTATAATCTGTGTATCTAAAAAAAGTAAAAAGTTAAAAAATCCGTCTATTTGTGTAAAGATCCTTTTATTAAATGGGATTTGTAAATTTTAAAGACAAAGTTCAAAGTAATCCGTTTAAGTTTGGCTTTAAACTCAAATTCGTCCATTCAATATATCCTAGTACACCAATTGTCCTTATAGTTTTGAAAGGTAGTGCAGTTTTGGTTGTAACTGGTGAATTTGAGTAAAATTTACCATAACACACTCCCTCCATATATTATCAAGTTGAGATGGCATCAACAAAGATCGACATGAAGATTGATTTTGTAATATATATATGTTTGTTTCATTTTATGTGATGATGTTTGATTAGACAAAGTTAATTAATAAATTAAACATTATGAATTTAAACATGTTATGATATTTTTGTGATTATAATATCATGTTAATATGAGTAAAATGAGAAATTTCAAATTGATTGTTTCTAAATAAAAGATGTTATTCTTTTTAAATAAACTAAAAAGTATGCATATAAAAGTTTATATTTCTAAATTCTGATGTATTCCTAAAGTTATTTTTGAAAACCTTAAAAAAGAGACAATTAGCCTACTACATTACAATAATATATGTGACTTTATTTATGGGGGAAAAGAAACCTTGATGTATGTGTTGTTTTATTCAAGCTTAAGTCCCTTATCAGCATCAGCAATTTTATCACCGATTTGATCGTTTGTTTGAAAGACCTTAACTCATATTTGATCGTTTTTTAATCGAATGGTAAAATTGATCCAATCGTATGTAGAATCAGCAAACAGCAACATATGTTAGCAACTCGCAGCTGATATTTCTGATGCATACCATTTTCCATGGCGTGAGATGTAAAGGTTAGAAGACGTTTGTGGAGTAAATAAATTATTGAATTATAAGTTTTTAATTGCTAAAATTTATAAGTTTATCTCAAAATTATTGGTTTCCCAACAAGTAAATAAATTTAAAAAGGAAACAACTTTTAGCACTTTAATTCATTTGTGAGATTGAAGAGAACTATTTCTTAATCGTTACTTGTTATACTACTTAACATTTTTTTTTTAAATAGTTTACCACTCTTTGTCCGGTACTTGCTTTGAGACCGATACCCTATCATATGAGAAAGATAGAATTTCAATAGTAATTCACTGAAATACAATCAAATCAGTTGAAAAAGAACATTCCAGAAAATAGAGGCAAAACTGATAAAGAAGAGTGTTTGGCAAGTGGGAAATTATACAAGCTTTGCTGACAATGGTACATCTTGGGAAATTATATCTGTGAATTTAGATGACGGTCAAAATTGTTGATTGGTACTACTTATCACATGTGTTCATAATATATACATTAGTTTTTGAAAATTAATGGAGAATATATTAGATAAGGATGGGATTTGGACAATAAGGAAATAAAATCTGGTTTCAAAGATGCCATATTCCTCAGCAGCAGCTTGCCGTATGCTAAGACTTCTTTAACGAGCATCTGATTCTGAAAGTATACACCATACAAAGTGGTAACTCAACAATGCAATTGAAAAGTAAACAGCACTTTTAGTTTTAGATCAATAAACATGAATCTTATCTCTCAAGTCTCTGTCCTAGAATCAATGCTATAAGGTAAGAACAGTGTTTTAAAAGGCTTTTATAGGACTCGCCCGGGGGCGGGGCACTATCAAAACGCCTTAAGACTCATATGTGGGGCTTAGTTCTATGAGACTACGCCCCCAAGCGCCCAATTGTGCGCCCTAAACATACATAACGCTCAACACTCGGGACTTGCCCCACAGTTCCTAGGTAATCTTGTGTTGAATTCACTAATTAACATTGTTGACTCTCAAAATTCTTCAACAAATGAATGATTAAAGTTCTTTGTATCCATAGGAATATGAAAAATGTGAATAACTCAAATAACAAACCATAGTATTACATATTTACTAATTAAGAGCATCGTGAGGATACGTGAATATCATTTGAATATTTCTTCTGAAAATAGATAACCAAAATTTATATCACTACTTGATAGATCTTCATGTCTTAGTTCTATGTCTCACTAAATTATCATATATTTATTATTTTACTCTTTAAAATTAATTTTATATTTCTCATGAAGGATAATATTTTAAATTACAGTGTTGATAAAATTTATTGAGTATTTACTTTTAAGAAGGTAAAATATGCAGTTTGATAATATTTTTTAAGAAATTAAAATTTTTAATCGTTTGAAAGTTAAGACGTTATAATAAATTTATATTTCATAGTAACTTTAACAGTATTGCATTATTTATACTTGTAAAACGATATTTTATTTTATATGAGTTTCTTTAATTCTTTTTAGTTTTCATGAACTTTTAATGTATCTTTTATATTTTTTTTATAATGCTATATTATTAATTTATAAATTTAAAAAATTAAAGATCCATGAGGCTTACACCCCATGTCTCGAGGCTTTCGCCTCGCCCCGTATTAAATAAAACGCTCCGCCTCACGCCCTCGCCCTTTAAAACACTGGGTAAGATATCTAATTTTAACTAAAGATCAGCTCTTCTGCAAATTGATGAGCATGGCAAGGTAGTCTAGCTGCAATATATTCAACATTACATCCACAGAATAAAAATACAAACGGCCATCTGAAAGTAACCACATGATTGTTGTTGTACCAAGTAACAGTATTATAAAACCGTACAAATATATAATAGGAATAGCCGAATAGGATCTAACTTAAGTATAAATGTTTAACATGTTGTCCGCCTTATTTTTCACTATACTAATTCCACTTATTATGGGCAACTGTAATTATGTTCTAGGTGACCTAATAATATGAAAAAAAAATTACAATAGAAGTTAAAACTATATGTAAATTGATGCAATTACGAAAAAGAAACGGCTATTAACCAGGGGTTAAATGATCAAAGTATAATCAGGAGCAGAAAAGGCAGAAACCCCAAAATAAGGTATTGCAGGAGTTTGAAATGTTTTAAAGGTGCAAGGTGCACGCTATTTTTCGGATCGGACGATGCTTTCCCCATAAGGCATAGCCGAACAGCTAGAGTTATACCCTTTTCCAAATGTAGACATCTTCCACATCCAGTAACATTAGTGAGTTTATCATCAAAAGGGAAAAAGCTACACTGTCATAACTTACGCTCATTGTAGAGGAATAACTTTTTTATGGCCTACACTTTGCTGGCATGAATCTGTTTATAGACAGTGCGAAGTGGATAGGAAGGGATAGATTCTTAAAGATAGATTCCGACTCCACTTGAAAAAGATAAAATCAAAAGATGCCCAACTGGGAAGAGTTTCAGAATAAAAGCTTCCCTGCTCACGAGAGTGACTACTGATTAAACATGGCAGAGTACATAAACCAACATCGACAAAGAGTTCATCTTTAGAAAAAATGGGGTCAGGGTGGTCACAAGATCAGGATTTACAACAAAATCAAGAACTAAGAAACACTTCACCTCAAAGCCACCATAATGATGCCGCCGTAGTCAATGAAGAACCAAGAAAGAGTATGCCACAGAGCAGCAAGAGTATTGAGACTAACAAGACAATGGAAGCCACCAGAGTAGTTGGATTTCCACATAATTACGAAGAAATACTAAAAGAGGCAGATTCTTCTATTGACAGATCCTCCATGGACAAATTGTATGACCAGCTATATGCTGGAGTATTCTTGAACCAAAAGCACAAGGTAAGAAAATTTTGTCTCCATTAGCTTAAGTGTTATAGTCTAAAAGAAAGGCTCTTTTTGAAAAGGTAGCCCCCCTTCTGAAAAGGAAATTCTTCGCTTATCAAGACTTCTTTATTATCCTATTTGCAAAAAGATTTTTGTTTAACCTATCTCACTAACTTTATCTCCATTTCTAAACCCCCTTTCATTTAAAGATTAACAAAAACTCCAGCTTTTACCTTAACAGTTATGTTCAAACCAAATAGGGCACCCAAATTCGTTCAGAGTCATACATATCTTGATAGTGTTCTTCCTTGAGAAGGTTGTGTTACTAGCATTATTTTGATGTAGATATACAGGCTCAAGTGTCCCTAAATGCTATGTGGAAATATATAGATACTTTATTTTTTGAGAACGAGTATATATATACTTAATGTTGTGCTCTTTACGTAAATTTAGCTGAGTTTAGAAGTCTAGCCTTCAAATTGACCCCAAGAGAAGCGAGTACTCTCTTGATTTAATGGACCAATTCTCATGTTCAAGATCAACTAGTCAATTGAGCCTAAACACTTGAAATTATTGTTTTGCCCTTTAGCAATAATATCTACTGTTATGGCTAACTTAGCAGAACATCTCCACTTCATGCAGAAATACTGGGTTGATAAGAAGTCAAAGGGAAACTGTTTCATGCTGTATGCAAGAGACCTCTTAATCACTTGGGCAGAAAACAAACGTTTCTGGCACTGGCCCTTGGTACAGGACTCGAGGTAATATGAAAATGTTTCATTTGACAAAGAAAACCAGGCTCATTAAAGTTGAACTACAGTGCAGATCCAAAGCTTTAACTAGTCAGAAGCATCCTTTACAACACATAAGGCTGTCATAGAAGAATAATAATCCTTAGGGCAGCCCAGTGCACAAGGCATCAATCGTTCACGCATGGTCGGGGGAATGGCCGCACCCCAAGAGGTGTAGTAATCCTTCCGTTTCATTTTATATGGTGGTTTATGACTGGGCATAGAGTTTAAGAATTTAAGAAAGAAAGAAAGACTTTTGATACATACCAAAAATATCCTTACAACGTGTGGTTCTAAACATGCCATGATATTTCTATGGCTATAAGAGCATGTCATTAAAGATAAAATCAGAAGTTTAACGTTAAAGAGTTTCCAAAAATAGAAATAAGTCATCCTTTTTGGAATAGACTAAAAAGGAAAGAGTGACATAAAAAATAGAACAATGAGAGTGATGCCCTAAAACAGACTAAAAATCAGTAAACATGTGTTACCAAATGATAATCAGCATTCATCAGTTAAAACTAACTAATACTTTTCAACTCTAAGATCACGTTCCCTATTAGAAGATATTCTAAACCAACACGTACCACATACTTAAAGGTTTCTGTAGTTGAAAACTACCAAACTAAAAAGGCCTGAAATGCTGTTTCTATTGTTTATGCAGTGATGTGCTTCTTCCAGCAGCAGAATTACTAGATGTTTGCTGGCTAGAAATCCATGGAAGATTCAATACAGTTAGGCTATCTCCAGGATTCATGTATGAGGTTGTATTTATTGTCATGTTAAAGGATCCTGCTTATGGATGGGAAAATCCAGTGAATCTTCGACTCATTCTCCCAGATGGTAGCAGGCAAGGACATAAGGAGAATATGGTGGAAAAACCACGAGGAAAATGGATAGAAATCCCAGCAGGAGAGTTCATGACATCAGCAGATCAGAAGAATGGAGAGATAGAGTTCTCTCTATATGAATATGAAGGCGGAATTTGGAAGAGGGGGCTAGTCATCAGAGGTGCTGTCCTTCGCCCAAAAGCCTGAGGTTCTATAGCATACAATACGAATTTGGCATGAAGCTGCAGCTCGCCCAGTTGCAGTTTCTTTTTAGCTTTTTCACACTGATGTTTAAAATGATGAGCACTAAGCTAGTAGCAAAAAGCATGAGATAGTGTTCTTTCTTTTGCATATTTAAATTAAGATGCATGTGCTACATTTAGCAGCTATATCCTAAGCCTCAAACATTTGGCATTAAGCCTAGAACTCGATAGTATCAAGTGATAGATGTGTAAAGACCATAGTTGACCTATATAGGAAAAATCTAGCATAGGGTAATCTGTTATACTGGTGAAGTAAATAAATCAGTAATAAAACTTCTTTTTCCCTAGCAGGGATAAAAACCTATGGGTCTGTAAACCTCCAGCCTAAATAAAGTAAATCTCTCAATTAAAACATTAGTTTGTGGTGAGTGTTTCCCAGATTAACTAAATTTATCCTATCTGGGAATACATTTTAAAAGTAGTAATGCACTTTCTCAGTGACAGACAACATTTAATGGATATGTTTGCCAGTTCCACTTTAACATGGAAATCTTTATGCCAAAAGAAGCATGGAATCATAACATTTTGTTACTAGATAAAGTCGTAATGTGATTAATCAATTGATACTAGGGAAGTACCCTTACATGATATAGCAAGAGAAAGATCCATATCAATCTAATACAACAAAGATCTAATTGTTATTGGCCAACACTGAGCATGTTTTCCTAGATTCCTTGTAGCCTTCTGTTTGGACCTAATTGACTAGTTCCTGCTACAAATTCAATTCAAAAGTCAAAAACAGCCATTTAAAGCTCATTTTGACCCGCACTCCGATCTGTTTGAGGGTCAAGCCCATAGCACAGCGCAAAGTTTCTTGTAAGGAATAGGAAAAATGCTGGATGAAGAGAGTAAACTAGTCAGTACCACATCTTCAAATTCGATTTAAAGTATCTACCATCTTCACCAAAGTCTTGGGTCACAGGGAGTTTGCCAAGGACCAGCTGGACTGTACATACAATTGGGCTGGCCATCTCCCTATAGATTCCAAAGATACGACCAACACCTTTATTGAAATAGGTCAAGTGTTTGACTAAACACCCAAGGGTGTGACCTAGTGGTCAACAAAGCGGTTTGAGAACCATGAGGTCTTAGGTTTAAATTCCAGCATAAGCAAAAACACTAGGTGATTTCTTTCCATCTGTCCAAGCGTTAGTGGACAGAATTACCCAGTACATGTGCTGTTGCGAGGTACCAGGTATCCTTTAGTCGAGTACCCTATGGATTTAGTCGAGATGTGCGCAAGCTAGCTCGGACAACACGGTTATCCGGAAAAAAAGGTGCTTGACTAATTAAGTGTCACTTGTCTTTCAAGTCACTGCCGTGCGAATCAGAATTTAGCTTTCCACTTGTAATTACACACTTCATTTCTGGTTGGGGCACTTGAAACAAAATGTCTTCATGAAATTGTTTTGCACGATTCTGTGAGGTAGCTAGAATGTTCACTTGAGTTATTTCTGTCTAAATGACGCTTGTTCAAAATGAGTTTTAGTTTTACAATGTGTTTAAGGCCTATTCAAAGGCAATACAAATTTACTGCATTTTTCATTCCATCGTTCAGCCTACAATTGTTTGAAAGAGTCGGTAATTTTTCAAACTTCTAGTAGTAGAAAGTGCATAGAGTTTGTTGGGACATCATAACTAGCACACGCACACGCACACACATTTCCAATAGCCTTATTCAGCCGGATAGCAAATTACAGCAAACAACTTGTTTACTATTTTGTTAAAAATGTTAACCAGCTATAACAAGAATAAATACAATAAAAATTGAAAGTATCATTTATTCCATTGTCCATATCCTTTTACCTAAAAGATATGTTATATTAGATGACCTAATATCATTTGACCAGTTCCATACAATGATATGTAATATAGAAAATACAGATGCAAATACTGACCTAATCAAAATCTGAGTGCAGAGAATCTTTCAAGCAGGGCATTCTAAAGAACAAAATGGACGTATCAAACCTCTGTATGGTAATTTTCTGGCTTGAACCACACTGAGAAATCAATCCCTTTGCCCTTCAAATTCTCTGTTGCTGGACCAATTTTCTCAAGGAGCTGCGCATGTTAACAGAAACGACATTAAGCAGTTTGATATTTCCTTAAGAGAGTTACATGTTATAATTTTTAACAAAAAATTACGAGATTAAGAATATTTCCATCCTTACATACTTATACAAAATATTTAAAAATCGACCTACTGGATTGGAGGTACTATACATTATAGAGAAAGAAAAGCAGAACTGAAAATTCAAATCAACTCCAACCATATCCAGATGAAAAACAGCTTACAAGTTAATTTCACTTCAGCATAGACACAGACGACTGACCTTTGCATGAAGCAAACCATTGGATACCAAGACAGATCTATCAAATACTGAAAACTTTCCACCATCCATACATGAAACTGTCCCTCCAGCCTCTTCAACTATCTGTATGAAAGATACACCACAGTGTCAAATAATGACTTGAATACAACTTGTTAACAATTCGTAAACAAGAAGAAACCACTTAGAGAAACTTGAGGACAACATTTGAGCTAAACTCAGTTTCATGAATTGATACCCAGGAGGTATTTCATTACTAAAGACTTTACCGACATGTGATACTTCAAGTTAAAAAGATGACCACCATTCACTTCTTCGATTCAAACCAACTCATTGATCTTGAATAATTTGAATCCAATGGGATCATTCGGAAACTTAGAAATGAGACAAGTATTGTTATAAATTGCTACAGAGGGTTCATTCTAACAAACAAACGCATCCCTGTTATAGGACCTTAACTCCTTCTGCACACTTGTCTGCGCTGCATTACTTATTTATAATACAATGGTTAGTTCTACTTATTTTTTATCTTTTCTTGAGCCGAGCATCTACCTGAAACAGCCTCTCTACCTCCACTTAGGTAGGGATAAGGTTTTCGTACACACTACGATTACATTGGGTTTGTTGTTGTTGGTTAGTTGTACTTACCCAAAAAAAAAAAGGTAAGTTCTGCTCCTTTTTCTTTTTTGTTGGGATAAGCACGCAGCATACTTCTCTCTTTTTTCACAAAACATGTGGCAAAGACCACATTTAACCCTTTTTCCATTAAAAATAGAAAAGAGAGAACCACAAGATATTATATGGAAAATACAACTAAATGATTGGACCTGTTAAGCATCAAACACTGCCTACTCAGCTGTCTAAATTTTTCTCCAAACACAGGTAGAAGGAGTGTCTGAAATATATCGATAATAATGAAATCAAGAATACCAGAACTCCTGCAGCCATGTCCCATGGCTTTAAGCGATATTCCCAATATGCTTCTGCAATCCCCAAAGCAACATGACACATGTCCACTGCGGCAGCACCAAGCCTTCTCACACCCTATACAGAACAAGGCAGGAAGATAATTAATATTTTTTTGGGGTGTGTGTGTGTGTGTGT